GATGAGCTGCAGGGATGAGTGTCTGGTACCTGGCAGCAGCAGAAAACCTGCTCACCTGACAGGTGGCTGCTGCAAAGTACCTGAACTGTGCTTTTCTTCCTTATTTTTATCTCTCATCACCTGCCAGCAGCTGCTTTGAATTCCAGCTGTATCCTGGAGGGATACAGCTGGAATTCTTTGCAAGGGGATGAGGCTGTGCCCCTTTGCTTGGACAAATCTGCCTTGTTTTCCTCTTGTTTGAACACAAAGATGAGGTTTCATCAGCATCTTTGATTTGCCAAGGATTTACTGCATCCAGGGCTGAGGAGGTGACTTGGTTCAATTGGAAGGGCAGAGGCAAAGACCTTGTTCCCACTCAAAAGGGTGGAATGACATTTCTAGGAACTGTAACTTGGGAAAAGTTCACTCATGGCATCACTAGGGAAGAGGAATTAAGTGACTCTGAGGTGACTCTACAGAAAATGACAGAGGGGTTTTGCAAAGGGCAGCAGGAACTTTTGATAATCGAGGTTGTCCATCCGAAAACATCCAAGGAAGTTAATCCAGATGAAGATGTAAATGGAAATGTGGTTTTAATTTGGTTTCACGTCATTCATCTGTTCTGTTTTCTTCTGAATGAAGGTGTCCATGCATGAATTTAATTTCATCTAATAAAGGTATTAGAGTCACATCCTTAATTAGTTTAGGGTGTGCAGTGTGCTCTCCTCTTCCATGAGCATCCTGAAGGAGCTGTAGCCAAGGAATTGCACATCAGGGGAGGTTCAGGGATGGTGCTGCTGAGATGCCAAAAGTCCTTCCCTGCCTCAAAAGGAAACTGGGATTTGCAGTGTCCATCCAAATCCATCTGGTCCCTGTGATCCCCCTGGAGCCTGGGAGTTCCAGCCCTGATATTCTTCCCCTGGGATCCCAGACAGGCACAGACAGAAACACTGAATTTTGGGAAATGCATCTCAGCTTTCCCATTCAACTTACATAAAGCTGATATTACTCACTTAACTTCAGACCGGTTTATTTGTAGATTGTGGGATTTAGAAGTTCTGTAATTAAACCATGTCTGATTTGTGCATCAGGACTTTTGCTCCTGCCTCCTTATTCCACTTCCATCCTCCTTACATCCTTTTTATTCCCCTTAAACAACTTTCCAGACCAAAGAGCAGAACTTCCCAGATCTGTAATTTGCTGTACAAGAACCACATGGGTTTGATTTTTTTTTTTTTTTTTTGCCTTAAATCCAGATTTTTATCATGTTTCAAATGCTTGTTTGCTCAAGTATGTTCCTATGAATTTCTGGACACGGGGAACAAAAAGCTGGCCAGGCTGTCCATGAACAGTGTGCTGAGGAATGCAGTGTCGTGGCACTCGAGGAATTCAGTGATCTCTGTACCAAGAGCAAGATGTTGTTTATTGGTGCTTTTCTAAAGGCTGTTCTGGGTCTATAAAATTCTTTATCCAGCACTCGGGGAGCGCTGTCAGCCCTGAGCATGTTCCTGCTTTCCTCAGCATCATAAATGTCCTGTAATGATCCCGGGTGTGATGCAGATCTGGGAAATCCTACTGGAGGGGATCTTCAAAGACTCAGACTCTGTCTTGGGCTGGCTTGATCCATCCAGGTTTTGTTAGGTTTAGCTGGGCTAAAAGGATTTTTATTTTTCTGGTGAATTTATCCATTTTTTTGTTGATGTCGTGCCTGAAATTCTTCACTGCTGGGCTGGAAAAGTTTTACGAGGGGTGGTTAACTTCATGAATTTCAAGCTGTTTAACTCTCTTGCTGCTAAAATTTAAATATCCATTTTTCTAGTCCAATGGAAATTGGGTGACACAAACAGCACAATCCAACTCATATTTTGGGCTTGTTTTCCCAAATTCCTGGTGGTTTCCCATGGAAATGTGTCTCCCATACACATGACAGCATTTTCACTTATAAATGATACCTTAAACTTCTTTATAAATTCTTCTGTCCCTTTGGAAAGCTTCACAATGGGGTCCCAGGAGCCCCATGGAGCACAATTCCTGTCTTGGATGCTTTGTGTGATTTAGGAAAGAAAACTCCAGAGCCCCAGTTCTGCTGGAATTGGAGAGATCCAAACCCAGCGTGGCTTGGGTTGGGTCTGGTACTTTTTTCTTCAGTTGAAACCTCAGGTGAAACTTGGAATTGAAGTGTCTTTGTGATCTCTAAAGAAACAGCGAGGCAAAAAGGCTGAAATGGAGGAGTTTTAGAGTCACAGGAATACAAATTTTTAAATGTAAGCAGCTGAGCCTGGAGATTGTTGAAACAGGCAAAGTAAAAACAGGATTTTGCAACGGAGCTGCAGTTTGCTTTTCCAAAGGATTGCCAGCTTTCTCTTGGAAAAAATTCGCTTTGCGTCCTCTCAGGCCGAGAACTGGAATAAATTTTCCCCTCAAGTGTCCATTTTTTAATTCAAAACTTACATAAGCACCAAAGCTGGGCTGTTCTGTGCCCAAAATGTGGTGGAGGGGTCGGGAGGAACCAAGTGTCACCTCTGAGCTGCTCCTCTCCTGAGCTCAGGGTGACCTTAGCTTATCCTTTTTCTGGGTACAAATCACTGTTTCAGGATTTTTTGGTTTTGTTTTCTTACTTGAAATACACACTTTCCTGACCTTTCCCCTTGGAAAAAGAAAAAAAAAAAAAAGAGGGTAGTAAAAAATCCAGGTGAAAAATCAAGCTTGAGCGTGGCTTGGCGGCGAACGTTGGAGGTTAGAATTTCTCTGAGGTAATTTTTGTTTTTCCACTTGTTTTTGTAGGATGCTGTGACGTCAAAACCAGTCATCCAGTTTCAAGGAAGCCAAGGGGTAAGTTTGTCCCTGGAAAGTTCTTTTACATTTAATGGGATTGAGGAATTTGGGCGGTTCCAGCTCAAGGAATGATGCTGTGATTGCCGAGAGTGAGGTGGAGCTTCAGGGGTGCTCCAGGGAGGTGTTTGCTCATGGAGTCTCTCTCTCTAAAACCTTTATTTCCTAACTTTGCTAAATCCATGGGAAATTCAGATTTATGAGGCTGTGCTGTTGGGTAGAACAGGGAAAAGGAAAGGAAGCAGAAATCCATGGAATCCTCACCTGTATCCCAAGAAAACACCGTGCTAAACTCACTGCAAGAATTTTTGGGTCCCAATTCCTTCCAGCAGCAGAGTTTGGAGGCTGCTCTGAGAGTCCTGGAGGTTTATTTAATGTAACTGCAGTTCTGTGAGTACCAGAAGTTATTTTAGATTTAGGAGTTTTACTTCCCCAACTTCTGTTCCAATGACAGAACTCTGGGATATTTTTAGCCCCTTGAACCAGTCTGTCATGCCAGTTGCTGACAACGTTGAGATTTACGTGGTGATGTTTCTGGTAAAGCAATGCAGCCCTTCAGTGAACTTGAAAAATGTCATTTAGATACGTTTTATTTCTATAAAAGCCTGTGTTTAACTTTAGTCCCTGCATAAAGAAGGGGAATTGAATTTTTAATTTTTTTTTTTTTCAAGAATCTGAATTCAGCTGCAACTTCTGATTGTTTTTTATGCACTGGCACATTAAGGCTTTCAAAAAGGCTTGGATTGAGTATACATTAAACCCAGCACATTGTCCTTGCCCACATCCTACTTTGTGATATTATTCTCACTAACAGCCCATAGAAAATGTAGCAGGAAAGACATGATTGTTATTGTAGGTTAAGAAGAAAAATACAAACCTTCTTGTTCTGGGAAATAAAGAAAGGAGCAATTTCCAGGTTTTTTACTTTGTTTAGAGTTAAACTTCCCCGAAACCTCAGCATGAAAGTTGAGATCAAAATCTGCCACTGAGGTTGGGCACAGTCAGAAGTGAGGAGGAAAACTGAAGGGTAGGTGATGTGTCTTTATATGATGAGCTTTGCTCATGGAATAAAGAAGCTAAAAGCACTGGGAATGCTTTCCTTTCCCTTTGGAAGCAGGATCTACACCTAAATTTTTCCTGTAAAGCTGTTTAAGTTTTGGAAATGCCTCCTCTGAATGTTTTTTCTTGAAGGAAACGTAGCAAAAGGGATCAAAAGAGCTTAAAATGCTCCTCTGCCCTGAGCCTTTGCTGGTGGTGGGTTCCACATGGATCTGATATGGACAGAGGCCAACAACAAATATTCATTTCTGGGGATAATTCAAAATATTTTCAAATATTTTGCTTCTAGGAATGAAAAATGTGAAAAGAGTTGATTCTGTCAGAGCCCTGAAGCCCCGGGGATGAGTGGTTGGTGGAAGAGCTGCCTGGCACCTGCAGTGTCACTGCTTGGAGAGGGGCAGGAGCCAGGAGGGCTGGGCTGGAGGGAGGATGTGGCAGCCAGGGCTGACCTCTGCCTGCTCCTCCTCGGTGCTAATTAATGGCACTGACGAGAGGGGCCAAAGGTAGAGCTTTGAAGAGAGCTGCAGCTCCATGGGAGCACACAGAAAGAGCTCTTTGTCCCTTTATTATTATTTTTCCTGGGTACGACAAGGAGCTGGCAGCTGGGGAACCATCTGCTTTTAAGGGTAGGACTCTGCACGTCAGGATTCTGCTGCTTTTTGAGGAGCTGAGCCTTGAAATGCTTTCGAGGGATCCTCCATCAGTTGGGCTGAAGAGATAATTCCAGGAATTTACCAGGCTCTCACATCCAGAGGATGGCATTAAAACATATCTGTTGAGCTGTTTTACTTTTAAAATAATTTCTTCCACTCTTCCTCAGTTCTCCAATTTGCTGCCTTCCTATTTTGCTTCCCAAAAAACCAAAGCAGTTATGGAGAATCCCGTTGACTTTTTGGGGTGGGAAGGTTGTGCTATGCACAACTGTCAGTGTGATTTAAAGCAGTGAGGTTTTATTAGTGGCAATTTTCAGTGCTAGTATTCCTCTCTCAAGAGGGAAAAGCTTCACTTGATGATTTAGGGAGGCAGGACATAAAATAAGAATTTAAACAAACTTCTGCTTCTTGAATTTAATTCTCTAGAAGCCTTTAAATTACTGTGTCCATGTGTTTTCAGCTATTCCAGTGTGACTCTAAAAGCTGTCAGGAATACTTTCAGTTTCTAATACACAGAAAAAGAAACTTCCATGTTTGAGACACTAATTAACCAGGGAAGGGAATTGTTGGGACTGAAACCCGGGGTCAGCAAGGTGGCAGCAGAAAGGAGGAAGTCAGTGGTTGCAGCCCAGAATAAAACAGCTGTTCCAGTGACAAGAGACAAAATCTCTCCTGCCTGGATCCTGGTGTGGATCAAATCTTACAGGAGCTGATAAAAGCTCCTGGGATTCTGCCTTGAGGCGTGTTTCTCTCTTGTGGTGCTGCTCTTGTTGATGGCTTTTATTCTGTGCAATAATCAGAATTGCAGTTGTAATAACCAGGTTGTTTTTACCAGTGTTCCTCTAAAGTGGGACCGTGGATGTTGTTCAAGAGCAGCACCTGGCTGTCAGTTTTTCCTCGTGGATTTTCTTGGAGAGATTCATAAGTTTTTATGGAGTTCAGAGTATTTTGCTCATTTCAGTGTACAGGTAAATTAGAATTTAAGAGCTGGAGTACCACAGCATCACAATTTGTGTGCAGAACTGTGCCAGAATTACTGAAATTGCTTCTATTTTGGTGAAAAGACGTGCAGAATCGGAGTTTAGGCTGGCTGAAATTTGCAGGTGCTTGTGGGGTGCTGAGAGCAGGGGCAGAATTGAACTGAGTGGGGAAAAAAATACCCTTCAGGTGCCAAACCCACGTGTGTTGTGCAGCGTTTTTAGAATGACTGCTGGGAGCAAAACATCTTTGCTTTGTGATTGGAAAATACAGCATTTCCCCTGCTTCTTGGGATGAAGTTTGGGTATTAACAGAGGGAGGTGAAATCTCTCTTCAGAGCGAGTGTCCACAGATGAATGTTACTTGAAAGAAGAAAACAGAACTTACATCTGCACCGAGCTATTTTTAAGTGTCTCTGGTTACTGGTGCAGTACCCAGCACCAAAATTAGGGCTCCCTCAAAGCAGTCACCATGCTGATTTGGTGGCTTGAGAAACCTTCTGTTTTCAGCTAAAAATAATTCCTAGATAACGGCCGGCTTGCACATGAGACTTTTCAGTACTAAAGTGACTCTGCCTCTGAAAACGCTGCAAAAACCCTACAAAAATCCCAAACAGGGGCTTTTGGAGCAGCTGTTATTTTTTCCAGTGGGTAAAGCAGGAGCGAGGAGAAAGTTCTTTGACGTGTGGAGATGTGATTTGGTGACATCCTGCAGGTTTTATTTTTCCAGGCTCAGGTGCAGCACAGCTCAATCCCCTTGTTGGGTTTTCCTCTTCTTCCCATTCCCACCAGATTTCCAGCTGCAAAATCCCCCCCCAGAGCATGCTGCTTACATAACTCTGCCTTTCTGCCTCTTCTGGTAAAGCAGAAGGGAATTTTCTCTCCCTGCCTGGGTGGGGGCAGAGGATGCCAGGAAAGATTAAAAGGGCTCAAGGGCTGCGGCGCACGTTTGGCAGGGCAGATAATGGGGCTGCCCTGGGAGGGTCCAGCAGCACCCAAAAAATCTGCTCCCGGTATTTTCAGAGCTGGATCCTGGGGATATCTTGTCCTCCTGCATAAAGCAAGGCTCAAGTTTGGGTTTCTGGGCTCGTTTTTGGAAGAAGGGAGCTCTGTTTGAGGGCAGGGGAACGCCGTGCACGGGCTCGACTCAAGAGCTTCTTGCTGCCTCTGAGAACATCCTGTGGTTTAGCAGAGGGACACAGATCTCTGGGTTTTCCAGGCTGCTGGAGACGTCTGAGGCCTGAAGGAAACCACCCAAAACCCCTCCTGTCCCAGCTCAGTCATGTGTGGATGCCACGGGCTGCCTGGCTGGGAGTGTGTATTTTCTGCGTAGATGTGGCAAGCTGGGTAAATATAAATCCATGTGGTAAAGCCTGGCCTAAAATAAGCTGGGGCTGGTGCTCCTTTCTGTCTCAGCTTCTGGGAGCCATCTTAATTATCAAATATTGATGTGATAGTAGAGCTCAGATGCTGACATTTACGTTGGAACCTGAATGCAGAGGGGAGAGTTTTCCCTTTTGAAAAATGAATGGCTGGTGGGGTGGACTGAAAAAAACAATGCAGGATGGCTGTGGAGTTGTCTGTGGAGCACACTTAATGCTTGATTAAATATTTAATTTAGCAGCAGCGTCACACTCTACTGTGAGCCATGAAATCTCGTTATGGAATTATAATTTCTTAAAAAAGAATAAGCATGCTACCTAGTGACCTGGCTTGTGCTATGTTTAGTGCTGGATCAGTAATTCTAAAGAAACGAGCCTCGAGTGTTTTACATTGAATATAAACAGTGGGAGCGAGTCTGTTTGGAGCCTGAATCAATAGAATTGGGTCAGATTCCTAGAACAGGGTGGTTGAGGTCTGTTTGAGGCAGCTGTGTTCTCTCACAGCCACATCCATCTTCAGCTGCTCTTTCCCTCAGTTACCTTTTCCTCCATGCACACGGTGGGGATTGTTTGAGTTCTTCTGGCAGCCTCTCTGTGCAGGAACCCAGGTGCTTTCCTTGTTGCTAAACACCTCGGGGAGCATGGTGGCTGCAGGAGAAGCGAGCTCTCCTGAGGCTGGGCTGACCCCAGTGACCATTGCTCCCTTCTCCCTTCTCCCTTCTCCCTTCTCCCTTCTCCCTTCTCCCTTCTCCCTTCTCCCCCTTCTCCCTTCTCCCTTCTCCCTTCTCCCTTCTCCCTTCTCCCTTCTCCCTTCTCCNTCCCTTCTCCCTTCTCCCTTCTCCCTTCTCCCTTCTCCCTTCTCCCTTCTCCCTTCTCCCTTCTCCCTTCTCCCTTCTCCCTTCTCCCTTCTCCCCTCTCCCTTCTCCCCTCTCCCTTCTCCCTTCTCCCTTCTCCCTCTCAGCACATCGCCATCCCGAGGCCCGATCGACCGGCAGAGGTTCGGACCTTCACCTTTTATCTCTCCAACATTGGCAAGGACAGCCCCCAGGGGAGCTTTGACTGCATCCAGCAGTATGTGTCCAGGTGAGTGGGACACCCAAGGAAAACCCAGCCTGTTTCTTTTTTTTTTTTGTTTGTTTTTTTTTTTACCCTTTCTTCTGGAGCATCTTTTCCCTAACAAAGCTTAATGCACGTTGTTCATTTTTAGAGTCATTCTGAGCTGTTTTGCTGTGGGTTTGTTTTTTTTTGTTTTTTTTTTTTTTTTTTTTGGATTTTTTTTTTTTTTTTTTTTTTTTTTTTTTGGAAGCATCTGATTCCCTCTCAGATCCTCTGTGTGTCCTCCACTATTATTCAGATAACACCCCCCTCTCAGCTGTCCCCCAGTGCCAGCCTGATGTCCCTTTGCAGTGTCAGGAGTACCTTTTGCATTGCATTTCTCTTGCAGCAATGGCAATATCCATTTGGATTGCCTGGGAAGCATACAGGATAAAATCACCGTGTGTGCTACTGATGATTCCTACCAGAAGGCGAGGCAGAGCATGGCACAGGCAGAGGAGGAGACTCGCAGCCGGAGCGCCATAGTCATTAAACCTGGGGGGAGATATGTAGGTAAGCAGCCGCTCATTTTGGGGCTCTGCACCCCATCTGGGACTCAGCAGGCTCTGGAGGCAAATCCTGATGTTGTTGGTTTGATCGTGGCAGTCTGAAAAGCTCCTGCTAGTTCCTCGTGGCTGATTTAGGGGGCAGCCCCTCCTTGTGTTGTGTTGTCTTCACTTCATCATCACCCCAAAGGAGCTGTGGCTGCCCTGGAGGTGTCCAGGGTCAGGTTGGAGCAACCCAAAGGTGGCACTGGGTGATGTGGAGGTCCCAGCCAGCACTGAGGGTTGTCCACGTGCAGTGACATGGCTCTGGCCACGTTAGGTCACCTCTGTCACGTGGATCCCTGCTGAGCCCTCCCAGTGTCCCTGCTCCTGGCCAGCTCGGCTAAAAGTGCCACCAGCGTGTCACAGCTGTGCCCCACGGGGCCGCAGCGGGGAGGGCACAGGCAGCAGTGCCCTCTGCTAATCAACACGGGCACTAAAGCAGCCTGGCACAGCCCTTCTCACTGTGACAGCAGCAGCAAAGCCTTAGCAGAGGAAATAAAACCAGGCAAACAGCACAGGGAGCCTGCAGGGACCCAGGGCTCAGGGCCCTGCTTGACCTCAGCTCACAAATTTCGGGCACAAACAGTAACCAGAACGCAGTTTCAATATTTTTTTTTTTTTTTTTCCCTGAGGCAGCTGCTTTTCCTGCAGCCCATGTGATCTGCAGCCAGTCTCTTCTCAGAGGATCTGTGATGAGAAGGGTTGAGTTGCAAAATGTAGAGCTGACCCAGACTCATTGTCACAGCAGCCAAGTGCTCAGAGCTGAGACAGGAGATAGTAATCAGGAAGGAAATGCATTGATTTCCCGTAGGCCAGAAGATTATTTTGTTTAGCTCCTCTTTGAGAACATTACAGTAAGTGCCTGAAGTTAAAGCTTCTGAGGGAGAAGATTCTCAAAGCAATTTGCTTCCTGGAAAGATGGAGCAAAACTTTTTAAAATGAAAAATACTCCTGGCTAAAACCTTTTACTGCCCTGAAATGGAGACAGAGCCGTGTGAAAGCAGCAGGGGCAGAGCGTGTGCTCACGGTGCTCCTAGATAAGATGTCAGTGTTTGAGGAGGTCCAAGGAGGAAGGGCTTGGAAGGACAGACCTCATGTGGGATCTGCAGGTCCTGGTGTGCCAGCAGCATCAGCTGATTCCTGCAGGCTGGGCTGGAGGGACAGGGCTGGCTCTCACATTTCCAGGAGAACACGCAGCTCAGCACTTGAGTGCCAGTGGAGTCGTTCCAGGCAGCTCAGATGTGGAAAAATTTATAGGAAATGTTGAAACTGGAGAGCAGCAGAACTTACAGATGTGAGCTGACACTTGAATAAATAGATATGTAAATAGATAGCTGCAGGTAAAGCTGGAGGGGGTGTGTGCTTGTAGCCACACTAAATATGTGTGCATGCATCTACAGACGTGCACGTGTATAAATATTTGAAAATCCTTTGTGTCCTGGCTTAACTTGGGTTTTTCTTTTCCTATCACTGCACATTTTGGCTCCAGCCTTTAAATGGAAACCTCCCAACGTGATGTTTTTACTGTTCATGACCTGGCAAGAGTTAAGGCAGTTCTAGAAAGCTGACGAATCTTCTCTTGTCCCATTTCTGGAAACAAAATCCAGTTGACCTCTGGATTGTGGGATGTTTAACGTGCGAATTGGTGTTGTTCCCCCTCTCACCTCCCCTCAGCCCTGCTGAGGATGGGTCGTGCTTCCTCTGCCAGCACTGTGGTGTATAAGAAAAAGCCGGGAAATGGGGCCTGGGTTACGCAACGTGCAGCTCAGTAAAACAAACAGTGCAGACAATCCCCAGTATCTTCAGATGACTCAGTTGAAAACGTTGCTTCCTAGCAATGGAGCAGTGCCCTGCTGGAATAAACCTCCCAAACACTTGCAAATAAATGCTGGATGTTGTTTGTCCTAGCGAAGGTCACTTTCTCCAGCCCAAGCGATTATTGATTGGATCTCCAGGTTTCCAGACCTTGGAACCCACACATTTTGTTTTCAGCTTTGCTTGGTTTTGCCTTCGGTAGCAGGAACCAGCTCCTGTATTTGAAGCAGTCGTGATCCTTTGATTTGGGCTCTGCTAGGATGGTGCGAAGGTTTTTCTGTAGGAATGGGAAAAATGAATTGTTGGGTCGTGCTGTCAGCAGCCAAGCACGCAGTGGGGATGGAGCCGAGGTGCACTTCTGAGCCAGCTTGGTGGTGTCACTTCTCTGCAGTGGAGAAGGGGTTATTCCATCAGCACAGGCAGCACCCTCATGAATAGGCTGATGGCCCAGAGTCAGCCCCATTCATGGGGTGTTTGGAGGGGGAAGGGAGGTGACCCAGCCCCATAAAGTTCCTATTGTTCTAAAAGCAGAAACATCTGCTGGAGGAGCATTTTTGCTGAGCTCAGCAGCGGGGAGCTGCTCGTTGACCAGTTCTGGTCTTTCCACTCCGTATTTCCCACTCTTCTACATAATAATGCAGAATTTTCTTCTGGTAGGGAGGGCAGAAATGGTTTGGTTAACCGTGGGGATACGTGCACTTGGGATAAATGAAAAGCTGGCAAACAAAGGGAGCTTTATGTAAGCTGGTGGCCAATAATACTCAGGTTTCCAGAGCTTGGTGTTGCTGTTTACTCGTTCCAAGCTTGTCATGAACCATGAACCTCACGGGATGCTCGTTCCGGCGGCGCGTCGGGACGGAGGGGGTGCGCTGGCGGTGTTTGTCCTTCCTGGTCACCTCGTGGCACTTCCCAGGGCTGTGATGAACTCCAGATCGGTGTTGACAGCCCACTGGCCTTTGCGAGGTGAACTGCTGCACTTCACTATTCTCGTCTCATTTTAGGCAAAAAGGTTCAGGTGCGTAAACCTGCACCAGGAGCTTCCGATGCTGTTCCCTCCAGGAAGCGCCCAACGCCAGTCAACCTTGCCAGTGCAATAAAGAGAGGCAATAGTGCGATTTCCCAGAGACCCTTCAAAGATAGGGTTGTGCACTTACTGGCACTAAAGCCTTATAAGAAACCTGAACTTATTCTCAGATTGCAGAAGGATGGACTTTCTCAGCAGGACAAGGATTTGCTGGATAACCTTCTGCAACAGGTTTGTACTCTGATGAAGGCAACGATTTAGGTAAAGGGAAAAAAAAAAAAAAATGTCTTCTCAGCCCCCCCGTCCTGTGGCAGTGGAACCTGTTATCTGCAGGCTGCAGCTGAATGTGACTCTAAAGGCTGTGGGGGACACAGCTCTGAGCTCCCAGTGCTGCTGCAGAGATAGCAGGAGCTTCCCGTGGCTACGCCTCAGCTCAGGGGCGTGCAACCAAGCTGGATGGTTTTGGCTCACCAGATCAGTCCCTTTTAGAGGGACACTTCTGCTTGGTCATGGGGAGGATTCTCTTAACGGAGGATCTACAAATTACTTGATTGTAACCTCTAAATCTATATTTTATTCTCATGGACATAAAGGAGAAATGCTCTGAATTGGTGCAAGTTTTGTGTATGAAGGAAAAGATGTCCCCAGGTTTTTTTGTGCTCCTCAGAGCCTTTCCTGCTTGGAAGTGCCAGTGGTCAGGTGTGAAGATCATGCAGCTCCTTGCCAAGCACATTATTTGTGTGTCAGGTGTGAAAGCTGTCTCCAAGCTGAATCAGTTCCTAGCACTTTGAGTCACGTTAAAGGTGCCATTTTAGGCCTCGCAGTAAAAACCTTCATTGCTTTATTAAACACATCATGGCTATTTATTTAAATGCTGCAGCTGCCTTCTTCTGTTTGGAATAGATTCTGGAAAAAAACTCTTTATTTTTTTTTCTTTTTTACTCCTTTCCATAAGGAGTGAGGCAGGAGTTCCCTTTGCCCAAGGGCACAGGGCAGGTCGTATTAAAAACAGACTCCCAGCTGGCACAACTCGTTCCTTCCTTAGACTTTAATCCCAGAGCCTTTAATTTCCCAGCAGCTTTTTGCAGCACTTTTTCAATTCTCTCCCCGGGTTTCAGAGCAGAAAATTCTCTTTCTGGTGATGCCTCTTGGAGGGATGCTGTGCCCCAGCCCGGGCAGGCGAGCGGCGCGTGCGGCGCCGGCCACGGGGCCGCCCTGGTCGGGCTGAAGGCTGATCTGGCTGTGAACGTGATGCTCGTAAAGTTAATCCCTCTCAACCCTCCCAGGGCTCCCGTCCACAGGCAGACACAGATAAGCTAAAAATTACAGGCTGTGTTAAAGCTACACGGCTAAATCTGTCTAGGTGTGGGTTTCATTGTGCTCTTGCATCTCTCGCAGGACTCCGTGTTCCTGGCGGCCTTTTTGCCTCATTTTGCAAGGTTTCTATTTTTGGGAGGGCTGGGGTGGAGCTTGCAGAGTCCCACACGAGCAAAACAAGGAGGTAGCAGCTCTCAGCCTCTGTGCACAGAAAAATCCAAGTTGTTCTTCTGGGCTCCAGGAACAGGCAGGAAACAGAGAAATTCTGGGAGAGTCGGTTTTGGGTTTGTTTTTTTTTCTTTTTTTTTTTTTTTAAAGGAGAACCTGGATTGGCTTTTGTCTCCTGGGTGTGTTTACAGGGATACCTCGATGTAAAACACAGCTCAAATTCTTGTTGTATTTTGGCTCAGGATTTTTGGAAAGCTGACAGGACTGAAAGGAAAAACAAAGTGTTTGTCATGTAAACTGATAACTGGGCTTTCTATTTTTTGCTTATCAGGAGAGTTTGCCATGTTGGTTGTGCAGCCTTCTGCTCTGAAATACCTAGATTTTTAATATTTTTATATTAGGTTGCAGCCTCCCTAAAGCAAAAGCAGTGGAATCAGCAGCATCTTCAGTTCATTCAAGACTTCCCAGTCCTCTGCTTGTTTTTGAGGCATTTTCCTGCTGTGTGGATAATGGAAATCCCTGAGCACAGCCACGTCCTGAATGGAGAACAGTAATCCCTAAACAGATGCACAAGATCCCCATGCACTGAATAAAAGCATTTTCCACTTTGAAGGGTAGCAGTCCCCGAGCTGAGGGGCTCCAGCAGGGAATTTGGGCTGCAGCTGCTGGCTTTGCCTGGCTCTGGGCAGAGCATTTGGCACCTGGGCCTCCTTCTCCCCCTTCACAAACACATTGAAGGCTTTCTTTTCATTGGGAACTTGCAGAGCTCCGCAAGCTGAGGTTGCCCAGAGAAGCTGCCCCATCCCTGGGATTGTCCAAGGCCAGGTTGGAGCAGTCTGGGATAGTGGGAGGTGTCCCTGCCCCTGGAATTTGATGGAGCCAAACCATTGCATGACACTCTGGATCACCCAAGAGAGATTCACTTTCTGTGAGAGCCTCGCTGGGGCTCTTTGCTTTGTTCCAACTCTGAATTTTCAGGCGCGTACCAAAGCAAGAAGTTAAATTTTCAGTCAGGCTGTGGAAAGGCTGATCCAAGTGGGAGAACTCTTTTCCCAAGTTCTTTCCATTCTAATCCAGCTCTGCCCATTCCAGCAGCTTCACCCTCCACGCAGGGTTTTGTGGGGAAGCTCCACGGGGCAGGGTTGGATTAAATGTCAGGCAGCTGCTGGTGCGAGTGTGCTGAGCTCCCTGCAGTGCTCTGCTGGCTTGGAGCTGGAAATCCCAGCTTCTGTTCCTGCCCAGGAGAAGTTCTCCATAAAATCCAGGTGGTCCCAGGGCATTCTTCTCACAGCTCCCTGAGGAAGCAGCTCTCTGTGGCCTGGTTTGTTGGCTCCTCAGTGAGAAATTATCTCCTGGCAATTGTTAACCAAGTTATCGCCCCGAGAGTTCCACTTTGGCCACAAACTGCCCCATTTTGGCTGTGGGACAGGTGTGATAAGTGAACTGCCTGTTCCCATTAAGGCTTTATTTCCAGGTGTTTCCATCAAGTGCTGGTCCAGGCTCCCCAGGCTGAATAATCTCTTTTAGATATGACTTATTTCCCACTCAACTGGATGTGCTTTAGAAACTCATTATGAATTATTGCAGTGACGAGGCGAAAGGAAAGGCACAGTTTGATTAAATAATCTTAATAATAAGGAAATGAAATATTAAAGTCTCTCCTTGTTCTCTGACACTACTAACAGCTGCTAAGTCTGCTCAGATTTTTGCCTTCATCTTAGCTCTTGTTTGGTCGAGGAAGTGAGAAAATGAAGCCCTAATGATGGTTTTCCAAACTCCTTCTGTTCCAGGTGGCAAATCTGAGTGCCAAGGACAGCACTTTCACTCTGAAAGATTGTGTATACAAAGAAGTGCAGAAGGACTGGCCTGGCTACTCAGAAGGAGATCAGCAGTTGTTGAAAAGGATCCTCGTTAGGTAATTAATCCATTTTCTTCTCTGTGGTATCATCCAGGCAAGGTTCTGTAAATAAGGGTGACCAAGGTGTGTAAGTCGAGTGGGTGACTTATTTTGACATAATTTTAAGCTGTCCATCACCCAGGGACCTGTAAGAGTGGACTGAACTTGAATATCCAAGTGAATTCACTCTTCACACCATCCTGGGCTGTCTTTAAATCATTCAAGGCAAAGCCTGGGGGAGCTGCCAGGGAGCAGAGCTGGCAGAGTTAACAGAGCTGGTCTGAAATCCTGGGGGATGAGGTGATTAAATGTCTGCAGCTCAGCTCTCCTTTGAAACTCTCCTTCCTTTTTTCCACATCTTCCTGTGCAGGCTGAAGTGTTTCACCCCTAAATCAGAGATTTGGTTGGAAAAGCACGAGGTTGTTCTGTAGGGATAAATCCCTTCAAACTCTTGCTGCTTGTCCTGCTTGGAGTGTGATCTCTGTTCCCATCTTCCCTCCTGGAACAGCCCTTAACTGACTCAGTTCATCCTTTTGCTGAAATTTTTTTTCCCTCAAAAGATATTTTCCTTAGGTGAAGCCTCCAAGCTTGGAAGCTTCTGGCTGGCAGGGAAAGAAATCTCCCAGTTTTACACAGAATTCTGCTCTTGCTGTTGATATTTTTCAGTGCCTTGGTACAGATTTTGTCATGCAGGCAGAGCTTTTACTTGTGCTTTATTTTATTAAAGCACTTTTGGTTAAGCTGAAGCACAGCATGCTCTGTTTGAGCACTTCCCATGATGTAAAAGCACAATTGACTTGGGGATGAGACTTTTTAAACCAACAGAAAACTTGCACTCCGGATACTTTGACATGCTCAAGGAAAATTAAAACTCATTTAAATGGCCTTGATATGAAATTATAATTAAAAGGAAAAATACAACTGCCATGTAATCTTTATGGCTTAAAAAAAAAAAAAAACAAAACCCAAAGTGAATTTCTCCCTGTAGAAAAGCCATGTTTACTGCTTTTTGTTGAATTGTGGCATTCACTTGGGCGAGGGTCTAAAAATAGACCTTGGAAAGGATGTATTCAACTGTACAAACAAAGCCCTGCTCAGGCAGTGCAGGTAATGAGGCTCCAAAATGGGCAAAAAAACCATCTCGGGTGGAAGGCAGGAGAAAAACAGAAAAGGGCACAGGAGGCAGCAGGGTTTGCATCACCAACCCCTTGTTCCAGCTCCTCCTGGATTTCAGGGCCACTCAGTGCCTTAATTTACACATCTGCAGGTACCAAAGCTGGGTCTAACTGGGCTTGGCTTAAACCAGCTCAGTTTTTTCCTCCTTTTTCGTGTTTTCCATCCCTCTGTCACCCTGGAGGAGCCTGGTCTGTGGGAGGTGTCCCAGCCTGTGCCTGGATGAGCTTTCAGGTCCTTCCCACCCAAACCATTCCAGGATTCTCTGAAATCTTTCCCCCGCTGAACTCGCTGCTCCTTCAATCATTAAATCCTTAAATTCATGGCTCTTTAAATCCATAATTAACAATTAGAAGGTGTGACAGGCTTGCTCAACCAGCCCCCCAAAAGCCACTTTCACTGGGTGTTTGGGCAATATCAGTGTCCTCGTGATCACAATGCCCAGCTCCTTTCCCTGAGTGTATCTGTGGCTGTTGGGGTTGTTTTAAATAAAATTAAACAAAAGCAGGACAGTGGTGACGCTGCAGATGTCAAAATATTGCTGCAACACAGCCCAAGGTTCAAGCTGAGGTTAAAGCCAAATCTTGTCAAGTCCTGGGCGTTATCTCTGAGATAAATCTTCCCAATGTTTAAAGGATATGAGGGAGTTTTAATGCTGATTCCAGTTTCTTGTGGGAGAATTTAAAATTGGGTTATTCAGGCTCCACAGCTCCTGACAAAACTGACTGCAGAGCTGCTTTATTAAAACCTTTAACCCTGAATTCTATTTTTTTTTTCAGTTTGTCAGCTGCAACTTGATGCAAGAGTAGGGCTCTTTTTTTTTTTTTTTCTTTTTGGATGATTAATTGAGGGGCTGCCTGGTGTCAGAATTGTTGGGCAAATTTGGTGGGCTGGGAAAATACTCTGAGATCTGCAGAGGAGCCGAGACCCAGCCTGGAGGGGAACTCAAGTGATTCTAATTGTACTTTTTGTTGCTACAAAAGGTTTTTTTTTTTATTTCTATTTGCCCAATACCACAAATACAGCCCAGAGCAGCTCTGTTTTGCATGGTGCAACTTTAAAGTATTATTGGGAAGCCCAAAATGTAAATCCTGGTGGACCAATAATACCTCAGCAGTTCCTGTTATAATGCTGCTTTTCCTGGACCCAGAGGAGCTCGCTGCTGAAAGGGCTCCTGTTGCCATAAAATGTTGTTTTAATGATGCTAATGAGTGGGAGAACTTATTCCTCAATATCTGAGCTTCAGTTTCAGCCCCTCTTCAGTGAGCTTTGCTTTCTGAGTTGTCTCAGAAAGCAAACACTCAGCAGAAATTCGTTTAATTAATGTCTCCCTGAGCTGTATTTCAATCAGCAGGAATAATATCTGATGTCCTTTGCACCTTACAATTCCATGCCACTTTCGCTGATGTCCATGTGAATTATGTTTCTGAGGCTGGAATTAATTTGTTTTAATTCTTACATCACCAGTTCAAGAGAAAAAAGGTAAAATCGTTGAAAAAGGAGTTCCATCCTCAACAGGGAATCCTGTGTCCAGGAGCTCAGCCTGTTGGTCCAAGGTGTTCCTTGCATTGCCAAAGAGCCACAAAAATGATGGGAAAGCAAGAAGGAGATGAGGAATCCCAGTTGATCACTGATATTTTCCCGCAGTAGTTTCTCCTTCCAGGCTTCTGTCAAGAGACCAGAACCTGGAGCTCCTTTGTGGCACCTCAAGCAGAGTTTTGAGCCCAGGACGAGCTCGAGGGGTGCAGTGCCAGCTGCCCCCTGGCACGGCTGTGAGCAGCCCCCGGTTGTGTTTTGCAGGAAGCTGTGCCAGCCCCAGAACAGCGGCGCTTTCCAGGGAGAAGCTCCTTCCCTGAGCCCTCCGAAGGACACCCTCAACTCCAGCTCTCCCCCCCAGGTGGGTGATCCCCTCCCAGCCCCTCCATCCCTGTGCTCCTGATGGATTTGGCTGCTGGGTCCAGGCTGAGCTGTGCCTGTCTGCACCCTGTAATCACCTGCTGCCGGGTCAGGAGGTCCTTGGGGTTTTATTTCTGTTTTATTGAGTTGCAGTCTCATTCTGGCTTTGCTCAGCATCTGTTTCTCCTCTGGACGTGGCTCAGAGAGAGCCTGTGGGGAGGATCTCTAACAGTGAGGCTCAGGTTTAGTTTTAAGGGCTAAATTCCTTTTGCAGTGCCTCCATCCCTCCTGGAGTTCCTGGGAGAACGAGCTTGTGTTTTCCTCATTACTAATAATTGAGTGGAACGAAGCTGTAATAAGCAGCTCCCAAACATGGCTGAGTTATGAAAACCCTTGACCTTTTGCAGCCTAATTGCCGTGGCAGATCAGGGGCAGGTTGGGCTGCTCCTGCCTGGGAGATGCCAGAGCAGGGAGCTGTGAAAAGAACATTTTGCCTGTTTTTTCCATGGCCATAAACCACACAGGAGCCACGTTTGACGCGTGTCAGGCAGAGCCTTGTCCCCACTTCTCCCAGTATCTCCCAGCACAGGCGTTGCTGGCGTTGTGAAATGCTCTGCCTTCCCTTCTCCCAGTGTGGGTCAGCCCAGACAAGTTGGGTATTTATTCTTCTCCTGCCAATGGAATGTGTAATGCCTGCTTGTCTGGACAGACGCACCGAGGATTAGTGGCAAAGAATATTAACAGGTAAAGAAATTATGTGCTCTCTGGCACTGAGAGAGAGGCAATTCTCTGCTTGAGAACAAGGACTGTGTAACTTGTTTGCCAGGTAGCTGATTCCAAATCCTCTCCTGCTCTGCTGTGGGCATGCTCCTGGTGAATGAAGAATGATCACCTTCAAGTTAGCTCGGAAAGATCCTGGTCTTGTGTCATTTTTTAAGGTTGAAAACTCATCTTGTTCCTCTGGCTGTCCGTATTTTAAAGATTCAAAGTGTTTAGGGTGAGGTTTTGATCTCTCAGAATGACCCAGCTGAAACTTTGGGTGGTTGGGTGGGTTGGATTTAGAGAAGCCTGGTGAAACAGGGACAGTCCAACGTGGAATATAAATGTTTCCAGCATGATTCTGTCGTGTCAGACAGCAAACCACAGCGTTGTGAGCTGTCACTCTTTTAATGCTCTCTGGCTGTAGTTTCTGTTTAGAGAAATGGTTTGTAATGGCTGCAGTGCCAGCAGAGGATTGGGATTTGGTAGGCTGGAATGCAGAATATTTTGGGAAGGTTCAGCTGTGCAATGAAGGTGAAGAAGATGGGTCTGGTAATTCTAGAAAACAGATGTATATAACCCTCCTAACCAGAGAGATGAGTTTGGAGCAGCTGGTATTTGTTGGTTTTAGGGACAAGGTTGTAAAATCTGGCAGATTTTTGAGCTGTGTCACCTGTTCAGAGCCCTGTGGACGGGGATGGCCCCTCCTGGGGGAGATGGACACCGGGAGCTCCGGGAGGTGATGTTGCCAAGCCGGTCGGACGTGCTGTCCTTGCCCCTTGAGCTCAGTGGCAGAACCAGCAGCTCTTCCTTAATTACCCTGACAGGTGGAAAGAATTCCTGGCATTGAGCAGTGGCCTCAAAGACCCCTGAGTTAGCAAAAAGAGAGAAAATCCCAGGGGAAAAAGAGGGAATTAGGGGCTGCTCCAGCCACCATCCAGCTGCATTTCAGCCACGGAACGACATTTCCATTCGCAAACACTTCGTGATCCTGCCTGAGACAGAAAGAAAATAATGGATTATCCAAAAGAAATACACAGAGCTATCACTTGTTTTCCTCTGGGCACGAAATAATCTTTGGCTCAGAGCTGTTGCAGCCCCAGAGCTGCCAGGTGGGCACACACTGAGGGCTCCTGAGGTGCTTTTGGCTGGGCTGAGCCTGATGGATGGGTTCTTCCACGGAGCAGCTTTTCCAGGCTGGAGGCAGCTGCCTCCGAGGTATGGGCACAGCTGGGAACCACTTCCTTCTCTCCCCTTGCTGAAAAAAGGGTTGCTCAGGTCGTGTTGCCCTGTGACGTGGCTTTCTAGATGTCCCCTTTCGCCTGAAATTCTGAGAAATGAGCACTTGGCACTTCCTCCCCTCTTCCGGGCAAGGCCTCGCTCTTGAGAAGAGGAAGGAGCGGGGAAGGGGCGAAGCTCTCGGCCACAGAGCTGGGAATAAAACGCAAAACTGGTGAATCCCTCCCTGCTCCAGAGGGCTGAGCACGTTTCTCCTTCACAGGGACTTTGGGGTGCTCAGGACAGATGTTTTTATCACGGAATTGTTTGGGTTGGAAGGGAGATTTAAGGATCATCCAGTGCCACCCCTGCCATGGGCAGGGACACCAGCATCCCACCTGCTCCAAGCCCTGTCCAGCCTGGCCTTGGGCACTGCCAGGGATATTTCCACTCTCTGAGGGGGAGAGGGGCTGCAGGGTTTGATTTCCAAAGGGCTGGGTTCGACAGAAGCTGCAGGGAGAGCGGGCTGGGGGCTGTGTGTGGATAATCATGGGGGAGGTCAGGAATTGCTGATGGGATTCTTCAAGCTGTCCCACCGAGGTGCGGGAAGCGGCTTGGGATGGATAAACTGCTTTTCCCGGGGATATTCCCTTCTCCCCTGTTCTTGCACCACCACCTAGTGGTAATGAAATGAACAGGGTCTATGCCTTTATTGGTGTTCAGCTCTTTATTAAAAGTCAGCAAGGTGTCCAGTCTGTATCTGAAGTCCTCTCTCCTTTCCTCCTGGCACACTGGTAGCCAAAGGCTAGGGGGATGTGCAGAGCCTGCTGCCGAGGTCCAGCAGCAGTTATCCCTCTCCTTTCCTCCTGCTAACAGCAGGAAGAGTGTCTGTTTTCCTTGTGCCTGCTTGCCACAGCCCAGTCCAATCTGGTCCTCTGCAGGTCATGGTGACAGGTCAAACACAGATAGGGATGGGTTCCCTTTTCCCCAACCAGCAACACCCATCTAGCCCCCTCCACTGTGCCCCTCTTTTTCATTTTGGGGTGTTTTTCATCCCCAAAACCCCCTCCCATGATTCCACTGGATTATTTTGCATCCCAGTCCTAGTTTGGGTGAGGGTGTAGGTGATTCCCAGGAGCAATTGTCTAATTAACATTTCAATGTCCGTACTTAGTTCAAGCCAAGTGTCCCAGCCAGGCTCTTTACAGTGACACCCAGCTCCACTTAGGCACCTTCGAGGCGATTTATTTCTCCTTTTTCTCCCCTCTCCTCCCTAACAGAAGCGACCCTTACCTGCGGAGTTCATCGACCCCCTGGCCAACAAAAAGCCCAGGATCTCGCATTTGGCTCACAGAACGCAGCCCACCCTGAACGGGAAGCTGAACTCCTCCAACGGGAAGGACAGCCTGGCCCCCCCTGCCCTGCCCCCGGCTCTGCCCGAGCCCTCCAGCTCCTCCCTGCCCGCCCTGGAGCTGCCCCGGCCGCACGATCCCCTCGCCGATGTCAGCAACGACCTGACCCACAACGGCAGAGACTGTGAGAGCACGGAGCCTCCCGAGAGACTGGGGCACCCCCTGCCCACAGACTGTGCCCAGAGCAGCAAACACAACTGCGGCTCCTACGTCAAATCCAAGAAAAAATCCAAAAAGCACAAAGACAAGGAGAAGGAGAGGAAGGAGAAGAAGAGCGAGGAGAAGTGCAAAGAGGAGAAGCAGAACTGTGAAGTAATAAAAAATGCTGACTTAGTTAGTGTTCCCCAGGAGCAGGTGCCAGGTGAGTGGGGGCCCGGAGGTGCTTTGGTGTTGGCTGGGTGTGGTGCCAGGATTGCCTGCAGGAATGGGCACATCCTGGGCCGTCCCAAATGCCAGCAGGGACCCAAATGCCAGCGCTGTCCTGCCCCCAAATCACCAGAGGTGCTTCCTCTCCACACAGGCTGTCAGGTTTTTCCTGTTTAACCTTTCGTGCTGTTTGGAACTGCTTCAGAGCGTGTCATGTTTCTCCTGGTTAAATTAAAAGCTGGGATAATCTGTGGGGATGAAAGGCTGGGAGCAGTGGGAAGAGCAGTGCAGCGCTTGTGTTGGCTGTTGTGATGACTGCTGTTTGGGTTTTTAATGAAAAGTTACTCACAAAAGCTTTTAAAATTGGCTACAAAAGAAATGATAGATAAACCTGGTGATAAATGCTGCTAAAGCAGTGGGGAACCAGCTCTTCCAGGCTGGAAAAGCTTCCTTACATCCCACTAGGGCTGGGGATTTATTTCTCCAAGGGCTGACACAGCAGTGAACCTCCACTGAGGTGGGGTGAAAACATTTTCCATCAAGCCACTATTTCAAAGTCAGGTCCGTGCACCCTTAGAAGCCAGAGCAGAGAATATTTCTTGGCTGATCCCATCCATTCCTTTTCCTGCTGTTTCCATGTTTTCTGCTGTTTGTTACAGCTCCCCAGGGCACTGGGACTTTCCCTGCAGCCTCTGGGAATATCTGTTATAAATATTCCTTTGTGCATTTGCCTTCACCCTGTTACTATTTTCTACATTCCCCTTCCTGCTTGGTGCATGAAAATGCTCCAGTTGTGCCTCCAAAAGGACAATATTTTGAAATGGAGACTGGTTTGCTGGATTCCTGGGAAGGGGGAGCTCCTCAGGGTGTTGGGATTGAGCTGGTCCCAGCCCTCCCCTGCCCCACAGGCTTTGCTGCAGTGACAAAATGCATTGTGATGGCTCAGCAGTGATTGCTGAGCACAGTCTGTGGGGCTGATGGCTGTGTGGCACTGCAGAGCTGAGAATTTTGTGTCAATCCCAGGTTTTTTTGGGTGAATGTTGTGTTTCTTCCACGTTGTTTCTCTTCCCCGTGAGCCCCTGGAGTGGTTCTGGAGAGACACTCACACATTCTCTCTTCTTGTCTTCAAAATACCCAAATTCCTGGGAAATTGCTGAGCCTTCTCCACCACCTTTTCTGCCTTTCTTTGCTGTTAAATTCCCGGATTTTTGTTCATTACTGGGAGTTGGGGTTTGTTCCTGCTGCTGTTTTGAGGTAACAAATGTGAGCTGGACTGGGAGCAATCATAAACAGGATGTGGTCAGTCCTGCTTGGATCCTGCACAGCCAGAACTGGGATGTTTTCCTTCTGTGGGTAGCACCAGCCTCATCCTGCTCCTTCCTCAAATTCCCCCTGGAGCTGTAGGGAAGCAGAGAATCACAAAAAGTTTGGCTTGGAAGGACCTTAAAGCTCATCTGGTTCCACCACCTGCCGTGGGCAGGGAACACCTCCTGCCAGAAGTGGGAGTTTCTCCCAGGAATTTTGTTCCAGAGGCTCTGGAGGGACCTTTGGGGTCTTTTCAGTCAGTAGATGGCACTCACAGGCAAAAGAAACCTCCCGTGTCCCCTCCCTGCCACCATCCTTGAGCCCTGTTCTGATCTTCCACGCTGTGGTGGGGAAAGGAGGGGAAGCAGGAGGAGCTGCGGCAGGAATTTGGGGTTGGGATGGCTTCAGCAGCACTGGGTTTGTGCCATCCTCCCATCCTGCTCAGGAAAGCTTTTCCCTGGAAATTCAGAGGAAATTCCATCTTTTTAAGGATGCACTCAGGGTACTGCTGACTTAGGTTGTGCAGCTGGATCTGGTGAGGGTTTGGAACGCAACACAAAATTTGTGGAAAATATCCCTTTCCAAGCGTGGATCCAGCTGCTTTCCTCCTCCACGTTTATCCTGCAGGATGAGTCTGCTTTAGGTTTATTCTGTTCTTCCTTCAATTTCTGAACGTTCTTTAATGCCTGGGTTTGTGTTTGGAGCTGCATTCCCCAAAATCCTCTCCGTGGTGCCCTGCAGGACTCTGGAGCATCAATTCAGGAATCTCAGCCTGGGTATTCCCAGGGGAATCTCTCAAGTGTAGAGGCAGGAGAACAGAAGGTTCCCCTTGCCCAGCTCAGCCCTCTGGGCCCAGGGCTGTGTTTTCCTCACTCCCAGTGCTGCTCTCGCTGTTATCCCACTGTTTATCCACCAACTAAATTCAGATTTTTTTCTCTGCTCGGTGCAAAACGCTGGTGGTGTTTTGCTGACAGACAAATACTGGAGGAGCCTTGAACTTTGAGCCACCTTGTTGTGGCTCCTCTGCCTCTGTCAGTTCCAAGCAAAACAGAAATCCTTTAGAATTCCATAAACTGTATATTGCAGGCAAGTTTTACGAGTTTGAAGCTGAATCGCAGAGAGCTTTGAAGTTTAGGAACATCTATAAACAAATCTTTATTTTTTCAGGTTTAAATGGAACATGCAATAATTCTAGTGTACCAACATCAACTTCAGAAATGCCAGATTATTTATTGTAAGTATGTTTATTAGTTGCTTCATCATTTTGGGATCATGTTTCAAGCTAAGAAATCACAACGTGCTGGGGATTTCTGTTGGACTTTTTGTGTTATTTGATAGAACTTGGTTAGGTGGGTGTAAGAAAAAGAGTAAACCCAGCTCTGCAGATTAATAGTTGAGACTAAACTTGATATCAAAGCTGGTTTTTACCTCCTTCAGGAGTTCAAGGTTACCTCCTATAAATTAAGTCCTTCAAGAAACATTTCATACCTTAGAGGGGTTTGTAAGGATTAAACATCTCCACGTTCCAGCTGGAAACTTTGAGAGGGAATAATCTGCTTTTGTGCTGGGGAGGGCAGGGCAGGGAAGGATTTGGGGTGGTTTGCTAATTCTTGCCCTCTTCAGAGCCAAGATCATCTCCATAGAGCAGTGAAATATTCTTTCCTGGGAGGCTCTAACCCCTGGGTTAGGATCTGAGTTGTTTCTTGTCTCTTTAATCAGATCCCCTCGAGGTTAATTAAACAACCAAAGCCCAAAAATCCCTGTGAAGGAAGCCCAGAATCTGCATAAACCCAAACCTGTTCTAAACAAAGCTTTGGGGTGGGGAAAAAGTTGTAGCTGGCGGGGGGAAAATTCCCTGTGCACGTCCCAGCCTTGGGGGTTGTTTCCATCAGAGGGAAGGGATGGAGGAGGAGGAGGAGGAAGCTCTAGGGCAGATAAAGGTTTCTGCTTTGGTTTCTGCTTTGCTGGGCTGGATCAGCCATACAAACAACCCCTTCAAGGTGACATTTTTAGAGTTATTCCAAAGAATTCGGGTGGCTGGGGTGTGGGTTTTTTTTCCCTTCACCCACGTGCTGATCCCCCCCCAAAGTAGAATATTGCAGCTCCAAAAAAAAACTGGGAGAGGTTTCTGAGCTCTGGGAGCTCTGTGGTCTCACCCAGTGTGATCTGAGTGGGTTGTGCCCAGCTCCTCAAATTCTAAGAGCTGTCACTGCTGTTTGATGCTTCTTTATCCTGGGTGGATGGTTCTTCATCCCAGCCCCCGGCAAGAAGTCAGTTCTAGAAGTTTAGAGCACTTAAAAAGTTAAAGCACTGGAAGTTCCCCCTTAATTTTAGGCCTAAATCAGCTTTTCCATGTTCAGGCACCACACTGGCCCTGCTGCAGCCAGAGCAGGGAGGCAAATTAGAGCCATCACCTACCCAAAAAATGAGTTTTACCTTCAGAGAGGGCTGTAAATATCAGCTTTAATGGCTTTTTGTTGAGCAGAATAACTTCTGAAAGGCCCCCAAAGGCACATCAGTTCAACCTGAGCCCAGGACACGCCGAGTGTCTCTAGAAGGTGCTGGAAATAGAGTTGCTGGTGGGAAAAAAAAAACAGAATAAAGCTCCTCACCGTGGTTTCTTGTGGTGCTCTTGCCACATAATCACCCTGCGAGCGTTTTGCAACGATGGCTCAATGCTTTTTGTGTTCCTTTAAAGACTCTTAACACTGGAAGCATCATATTCCTGCTGTTCCAATGCCTGGCACAGATGCAGAACTGCATGTTCTGCGGGCCAGCAGGAGTCAGAGGAGCTGTGGCAGCACTATCTGAGTGTCCTCCTCCACCCCCAGCTGCTCCAGGCTTGGCTGTACCTGCCCATCCCACCCTATCTGCCAGAGATAGGAAGTTTTGGGAGCAAACATTGTTTGTTTTACAGGAGGTCAAGGCAACAATCCCCGGTGGTTGCCTCCATAATTTGCTACTTTAATGCAAGTCAGGGTGAGAGGGAACGGCCTCAAGCTGCACCAGGGGAGATTTGGATGGGATTTCAAGGAGAAATTCTTCACTGGGACAGGGAATCGCCATCCCTGGAGGGATTTAATCCATGTGGATGTGACACTTGGGGATGTGGTTTAGTGGTGGCCTTGGCAGTGCTGGGATTTGATCTTGGAGGGCTTTTCCAGCTTGAATCCCAGGATGGTTTGGGTTGGAATGAGCTGAAGCCCATCCAGTCCCACCCCTGCCTCAGGCAGAGACACCTTCCACCATCCAGGGATGCTCCAAACGCCTCCAGCGATGAGGCAACCACAGCTTCTCTGGGAATTCCATCCAAGTGAAGAATTCCTTCCCCAAAATCCCATTTAGATGATCCTGTGATCCTAAGTTATCCACGATCCCATTTCCAGGCTCATTCCCCTGCGCTCGGCACCGCCGCAACCCGGAGAGAATCCCCCAAAACCGATTCCCCCCTGTCTAAAACCAATCCCCAATAAAACCAATCCCCCCAAAACCCAAACCCCACTGACCAAAACCTTTTTTCCCCTGCAGAAAATACGCAGCCATTTCCTCCTCGGAGCAGCGTCAGAGCTACAAGAACGACTTCAACGCGGAGTACAGCGAGTACCGGGACCTGCACGCCCGGATAGAGCGGATAACCCGACGGTTCACCCAGCTGGACGCCAAGCTGAAGCAGCTTCTGCAGGGCTCTGAGGAGTACAAGGTAAAAAAAAAAAACAAAATAGAGCTGGGAAAAGCTCCCCGTGCACGTGGCAGAGCTGCAGGTCTTTGATGTGTCCGAATTCCAGCCTCAGAACTGCTGGGGAACGTGCACACAGCTGACAGCTCCGGGGGATGCTCCTCACCCAGCTCTGTGCTGCTCCTTTTTCAGGCTGGAGCCACATCATGGGACTTGTTGACAAGGAAAGGCCTCAGTGAGACAATTGGTGTCCTTAGCCAAAAGCTGCTGGAAGCTATTAGTGTATCCCAGCCAGAAATCTCATATTTGCACATATGGGAGCGTATCAGGGCTGGAAGGGGAGTTAGCACGGGGTCATCTGTTCCTCTGCAATCTTTGATCTTAATAATGCAGCATTATTGGGCTTGTCAGAGTGATTTTTAAAGAGTTTTAGCTATTCATTAGCTTGAAAAAGTGAGTCTCGCCGAGGATAATAAACAGATTTTTACAGAGCACCTATTGTGCTAAGCACAGCTTCGTCCCTCAAACCTCCTGCCCCTTCTCCTTGCAAAATTCCTCACTGGATTGTTTTTAGATCTTGGTGTGGCAGGGGAAAAATATCAGCTGGGGCTTTGGAAATGTGAATTATCCTGGAATCCAGGTGCTTGTCACACAGGTGGGGAGTGGGGCTTTATCCTTCTGTGTCAGCTCCAGGATATCCATGGAATTCTTTGGATCTGCCCAGGGAAACCATGGAGGGAGCAGATTTTGGCTGGAATGTGGAGGAATTGTGTACATTGACCCATCAGTAGATACCTACAGCAGAACTGAAAATAATAAAATAATACCCTTTTTTTTTCCTCTCTCTCCTTTTTTTTTTTTTTTTTAGACCATCCACGATCAAATTTTACAGGAATATCGGAAAATTAAAAAGGTAAGGGAATGTCCTTGGCCACAGAAGGCTTTTGGGTGGTGCCCCTGGTGTGACTGAAAGAGATGGGCCCTTGCCAAGAGCAGAGCCAGGCTCTGAGGCAATTCCAGCAGATCTTTGTTCAGCTCCAGCCCGTCCCTCCAGCAGATCAGAGAGGTTTGGGGGGAGCTGGGAGTGCCCCGTGGATCCTGGGGATCGCTGAGCCGTGGCCGTGGCACCACGCCTGCGTTCACCCAGGCCTTTATCTCCCCGGGGAAGGAACAGTTTGTGTCTCAGATGCACAGGCTGAGGGATAACAGGATCCTCTGGGGGCTGCTGGGCCACAGATCCCAGCTGGGATCAGGCTCTGCAGCTCTGGCCCCAGATTTTTGGCGTTTGGGGCACGTAAAATGTCAGTATTTTTATGCAAAGCATCCCCACGCCGGTGGGGATTTGGGGTTTTTTCCTTTAAATAAGTGAACGTGGCCCTGAGCCTGTGGTCCTGGGGGATTTAGGAGCTCTTTGAAGAAATGCCCTGCATGTTGGAAGTTTATCTTTGTTCCAGAGCCTCTGAGGTGGGGCAGAGGGTGGGTGGTGATTGTTGGAAGCCCAGTTAGGCCAAGCCTAACTCAGATGTGCTCCTTCCCTGTGAGGAGGCTCCTGGAGCTGGAGAATGCTGCAAAGGGATTTCATCAGGACTATTTCAAAGAGGGATCTGAAGAAGCTTCTTTCCATGGTTTTAAGCTGAAAGAGGGGAGGTTTAGGTGGGATATTAGGAAATTCTTCCCTGGGAGGGAGTGAGATGGAATTCCCAGAGAAGTGAGGCTGCCCCTGGATCCCTGAAATTGTTGGATGGGGCTTGGGACAGTGGAAGGTGGGATGGGATGAGATGATCTTTGCATTCTCTCCAACCCAAACCATCCCATGATTGATTCCATGATCTGTTCTCAGCTTTGATTTGTCCAGAACCTTTCCCACCTCTGCACTTCCTTTTTTTTTTTGTTTGTTCTGTTTTACAGACAAACCCCAATTACAGCCAAGAGAAGAACCGCTGCGAATACCTCCACAACAAACTGGCCCACATCAAAAAACTGATAGCAGAGTATGACCAGCAGCAGTTTTAGCTGCCACTCACCCCTGGACTGGGTAGGGCAAACCAAAATCCAGTCACCCTGGACGTCACGTTCCCTTTTATACACCCAAAATCCCTTTCAGAGACGAGCATTAATTCCTCGTGGTTGAAGAACTTGGGGATGACTTTAAGATGCCAGATCTGTCATGTCCACGTCCAGCACGCTCCTCCCGAGTTTTTAAGCCTCTCTGAATGTTGGAATGTAACAAATGGATAACAAAAACAAACAAACAAAAAAAACAAACAAAAAAAAATTCTGCTTATTTGAAGCCAGCGTTTGACACTTAAGGGAAAACTTGCCTAAAGTGACCGAAGCTCCCAAAGGTTAAGAATCTGTAGTTTTCATGGATTAAAAGTTTGGCATGAAGTTGTAATTCCCCAGCTCCACGTGGGTTACAAATTGTCCTACGAATGGTGAGGAACTGGAATTGCTGCTAGGACTGTTTGGAATGAGAGCTGTCTGCTCCCGGCTCCGCGGAAATACACCACGTTCCCTGAGCTCTCCTTGTCTGGCCCTGCTTTGTCATTGTCCTCCTGGGGCTCGGGGGGTGGTGGTGGCAGCACAGGGGTCCCCCGGGGCTCAGCACCTTGGTCAGGGCACAGGTGGATCCCAAAAAAAAAACAAAAACCCCAAAACGCCCCCTTCTTTTTTTTTTTTTTTTTTTTTTTTTTTTAAATCTTCTTTTTGCATTTGGGTACAAACCTCCTGCCCAGTCTGCCCAGTTCACCCCCAGCTAGCAGCGCTGGGAAGATGAGACCTGTCTGGCTTTGACTTTTCTAATTTTCTACCAAGACAGCCAATTTTATTAATCGCTAATGAGACTATGGTCTATTTTTGTATCAAAGAAAAAAGCATCTTTTTTCTAAAACTGTGCCTCCCTTTTCCTTTTAGGCCAAGTGCTTGGGACCCTTTCCTTGCAGTATTACTAAAAGTGACCCAAGAGTCACCCAGAGGAGTGACTTCATCCCTTGATCCATGAGAGGAGGGGGTGGGGGGTGCTCTGCTTTCTCCTGGGATATTTCTCTGTGTGTCTTTGCAAGGCAGCAGCAAATCCTTGTGAGAGCAGCAAGGTGCTGCTTTCCCACGCGGATCCCTTCCACTGGTGTGCTCCATCTCAGCCAGCTTCTCCCTGCAGTCCTGCTTCCTGATTTTTTTATTTAATTCTTTTCCTTTGGATTGAAGGGAACGTTTCAGAGTATGGCCAGGGTGTGAGAAACACTCCAAAAAGCACAAAGGTGTCCTTTAACTCTGCTGGTCCTTTCTTTCTCTCCCCTCTCCCCTTTTTAATCCTGCCAGCCTGTGGGATTTGACTTCTTCCCGCTTCCGTTTATCTCGGAGTAAAGGATTCCTTCCCTGTGGAGTCTCCTTCCCTTGGAGGTTGCACTGAAGAGCCTTTCACCCTTTGAAGGAGAGGAATGGCAGAGTAAAGGAGGGAAACACTTCTTACAACAAGGAGTTATTTTGAAAGGGTTGGTTTTTTTTTTTTTTTCCCCTTGCCCCAAACAAAACGTGGGTCCATCTGCTGTATGAAAAAATAGGAGATAAAATTGCTGATTCTTATTATATTATAATTTCATTGCTGTCACACGGCCGGGGCCACTGCTTTTGCTTTGTCACTTTATTCTGAGGTCTCTCCCTGTGCATCCAGCGCTCGGCAGGGCTTTGCCATCCCCTTCTCCGAGGGAAGGGTGACAGCCAGGGTGCCACGGTGGCCCTTGGAATGCCACCAGCCTTCCACTGTGGAAGAACTGGAGCGGGGAGAGGAGCACAGGGGAGCACCCCAGAACCCCCCAGGGCGTTAATTCCTGCTGGGAATCCGGGGGTCAGGAATGCTTTGCTCCCATCCCTTCTAACCCACAGCAGAGCTGCAGGTGGGGCAGCCCCACGCCCGCCCCTGCTGCTGCTGCAGGAAGGAGCTTGGGGCTGGGAATTTCGGTGAATTCCGCCCTGGGCTGGGATGGGGGATGAGGATTGAGGGGATGAGGGGGGTGGGCACGTCCCAAACCCTCGGCCCCGCTCTGGCGCTGGCACTGCACAGCCCCGCCGGGATTTTTGGGTGGAAAAAGGGGAATTTCCCCAGTGCTGGGGCGTGCTGGGGGCTTCGTTGGACTGCTGAGGAGGCGCAACTCGGGATGGCAGAAGAGGCAGCAGCTACAAACCCAGGATGAGTAAATTCTTCCATGGAAACACTTCTCCTGATCCTTAATATTTTGAAAGGAGGGGTTTTTTTTGTTGTTGTTGCTTGGGGAGGGGGGGGATAGAGATGGATCTCAATCTTTATACATCTGCTATAAGATATTTTTGCAAACAGAGTTGTATACAAAGATGTATTGTGTACATTTACATGTATATTCTGGAACTTCTAAAAAATTTGAATATTAAAAAAAAAACCTGAAAATATTTAATTAATTATCCAAACTGTGAGACCCAATTAGCATCCACCAACTTCCTGCTTCACTTTTCTTTTGGACTGTGTTAAAGAATTGTAGTCGAATCTGCCTTTCTTTTTTTTTTTTTTTTTTCCTTTTTAGAGACGATGAAGCTTAGGCAAAATTTTGTGCTTTTTGGGTTAATAGAAACCAGTTCTAGGTGATTTAAGTATGATCTTAACTTATTGATACTGTGTTTTACTTTGTAATATTGTACTGTGGATAAAAACTATATTGAGCCATGGAGTTGGAGTTTACAAAAGAGCTTTTCACTTTGCCAAAATGTTACAATTTCAAGGCAGCATAGTCTTCAGCTTTCCTAATCTTTTTTTCTTAAGAGCTAGTGTCCTTTTTTTGTACACTAAAAAAGCTGAATGCTGATTTTGCAACATATAATAAATTCACTGTATTGGAAAACAAGCAGACAATAAGGTCGTGGATTTCTTTTCAGTGCTTCTCCCTGCAAGGAAACTCAAAAGGGAAAGGTGATAAATGGCTGGAGCTTGGAAGCAGGAAACGGGAAGGAACCGGGTCACTTGAGCGAGCTGCAGTGGCAGAGCAGGGAGTAGGTAAGAAAGGAGAGGGAAGAGGTGCTTGGAGCGGGCCTGGCATCAGCCTCCAGCCCTGGCACGAGCCGGGGGGTCCCACTGCAGCACCCCCGGGCATTTTGGGGGAAAAGCTGCTCGGAGGAGGTGCTGGATGCTGCTGGTGCCAGCCTGGAGCGGCAGGAGGCTCGGGGATGCTCGCAGGGCACCGAGGGGCTGCTGCAGCACTGAGCTCATCCCGGGCTGCTGCTGCAGCAGGAGGTGGGCATGAGCCTGGCACGGGCCCTGCTGCAGCTCCCACCTCTTCCCACCGGGCTCAGTCATCCCAAAAAAGCTCGGGATGCACCTGGGCTGTGCCAGGAGTGTCCCTTGCTGTCACCATGGGTTGCTCTGGCCCTGCCTTCAGCAGCATCCCCCAGGCTGGATGGAGGCAGCAAAATGAAATCCAGGATAAAACCACTCGGGAGCACGGTGGTCTTGGAATAGCTGCTGTGTTCCTCCTGCCTCCCTCCCGGAGCAGAGGCTGAGCAGCACAAACTCCGGGATGGAGGCCACAGGTGCCGGCCCTGCATTCCCTGTGTCCCCAACGCGTCCCTTGGCTTCAGTGCTGCATTCGGGATTGCCCTTCCAAAGCAGCAAAAAGAAGGTGACAATCCTCCAGGGGTCAAATGACGTTTTAACAGAGTCTTGGTTTATTTGTTAAAAGGTGTCCTCGTCCTTGCAGCACCCACACGAGGAGACACTGGTGGGACTCGGCCACGGAGCAAGAGCTGAGCCCAGGCTCTTGCAAACCCCCAAATCCTCCAGTTTTAGTTCCAGACGTGGCTTCTGAGCCCAGCTCCGCACGCCGGGCCCCCGTTACCCTCCGTGAGCTTCCCCGAGGCCGGCTGCTGCCCCGCGGGGCCGCTGGCGCAGGAAGGGTCCCCGTCCCCTCCCAGCTTTCCTGGGGAATTCCTCCCAACCGCTGGCAGCTCCGGCGCTGCCCGGGGTCACGCATTGAGCTCATTAACTCGGAGCTGCCCCAGTGGAAATTTACTGGCCGCCTTTGCTGTGCCAGAGCCGGCCGGGCTCCCGCCGCCGCCGCCGCCGCCTCCTTACCGGCCCCGCCGCACCGGGAGCATCCCCGCGTCCTCCCGGATGCAAACCCAGGCTCGGGAGGAGCCCTGCGCTCTGAGAGTTCGCTGGTAACTCCGGTCACGCTTGGGAAAAGTCACTTTTCTTGCACCACATCTTGCACAAACTGCCCCTAATTCGGGGTCACACAAGCGTGGGAAGACCCTGGCCAGGTTTTAGGGATGCTGGAAACCAATGGCAGCACTGTGTGTTTTTTGTTGGTTTTTTTTTTTCCCGTGTTTTTTTTTCCCCCCATGGGTATTTTTCCCCTGTGGATTTTTCCCTCGTGGGTTTTTTTTGCCTGGGCACCTTTCGCTGCTCGTGGCTCGTTTACCAGGAGGAAGCTCATTAGAATAATTTGTCCTCGCCACGGTCCGATGGCGTTGGTCCCTCTCCCAGAGCAGCTGCTGCACCTCCAGCGCTGGGCACGACCCCCAAAACCACCCCCGGCTCCCTCCCTTGCAGGCGTGGGCCCGACCTTGGGCACGCAGCGCCGGGAGGGCGATGGCACAGGGAGAGGGAGGAGGATGAGGAGCTGCCAGCAGGGATATAATGAAGGGCCAGGGCTTGGGATTGTGTTACACGAGGGGGAAAAAACCCAACTGTGGAGGAAGGAAAACGTGGCAAGGGAACGCTGAGGCTGCTGCAAGGCACAAATCCGGGGTTGGCGGGGTCGGCCTCGACCTGTCGGTGGTGGGGGGACAGAGGCAGGACCCCCCAAAGGAGCCCGGCCCGGCCCTCGCAGCATCGCCCTGAACCTGCTTAGAATGAAGCGCGGCGGAGCGCCGGGAGCTGCGCGGCCGGGATGCCCGAGCCGGGGCGGGAGCGGGGGGTCCGCGGGGAGCGGGGGGTGGGCTCCGTTGCTGGCGGAGCGGGGCCGGTCGCTATGGCTGCGCTGCGGCTCCGCTGGCCCCCGGCCAGCCCCCGGCAGCTGGGGAGCGAAGGCGCTGGGCGGCCGGCCCGGGCTCCCGGCCCATGGACGCGTTGGGCGAGCGGGAACAAGGGAGCCCCGCTCATGCGGTGCCGAGCGTGGGAGGAGTGGGAAGGGAGTGGGGGAAGGAACAATGGTGGGAGTTATGGGAGGGGGGCGAAAAAAAAAAAAAAAAAAAAAAAAAAAAAAGGGGAAAAGAAAAAAAAAAAAAATAAAAAGAGGAAAGCAGTGGAAAAATACCAGTTCTGGGCCCCTGGCAGCGCTGCCCGGACCCTCCCCGCCCCAGGATTATTGTACAAAGAAATGTTATTTTTGTTTCAATAATTTGCTGAGGCACTGGCATTCCAGCGCGGGGCTCGTTTTGTCCTCCAGCCCGGCACCAAGGGATCATTGTTCCTCCATGGCCAAGGGGCCGGACGCGGCCCCCCGGCACCGCCGTGCCCTCCACCGCCGCCTCTCCCCGCGGCCGCCCGGCCGCAGGTGCCTTCCGGGCTCGGTCCCGGTGGGTCCCGTCCCGCTGCGTGCCGGAGGCTGGGTGGCGATGGCAGCGAGCCCCGAGGAGCGGGGTGGGTGGCGGAGGAGGGCAGAGCTGTCCTCGCCGTGTCTGCGGGGAGCGAGGGTGGGGAGGGGGCCGGGGCGTTGCTGCGGCTCCGGGGGCCCCTTTGAAGCGGGGCGGGCCATTGAAAGGCAGCGGGACCCCGGGGGCCGCCAGCGGGGGGGCGGCCACGACCCCTTTCTCTGCGCCGGCCCCGGGCGCTCCCCGCGCCCCCCGGGCCCGCACGGGGGTGCGGCCGCACACGGGGGTCGGTGCCCCCCGGCAGCGCCCGCGGGGA